TGGACTCGGTGATTCCTGAGCTGAGGGGGCGTTCCAGGTGTGGGAGGCAGGATGACCGTGAGGTCTCAGTAGGAAGCACACCGTGCCCGAGTTTGCAGCACAGGGCCCAGAGGCTGGAGATTAATCAGGCTGCTGACTTGGACGAGGGGGACAGGCACACCCCAGAAGCTCCCTGGGCTCAGGACCCTCAACTGAAAAGCGAAGAGGAGACCAAATTCCTTCCTGACTTTTTTTTCTGCTCTAAAATCCAGCAATTCAAGACATTCGGTTGGGCGCGAACTGCCACAGTGTTCATGGGACCTGATTCTTGCTAGTACTTTACTTTGACGCAGAGAGAGGAAGGTGGGAGTCAGCACTGAAGGTGTTTCACTGAGAAGGGACTAGAACTGGTCCCCGGGCACGGCCTCTGTCTCTGTCTTCTTTCGTCTCCTCCTCTGCTTCTTACCTTCTTGCCTTTAGTCTACTTCCCCAGGAGTCAAAGAGTCGATGAGGCAACCTCTAGCCTGCAGGGAGGCTGGTGAGGGACAAACTGCAATGAGTCATAGACCAGATTCTCCCGGACTCTCACACACACCCACCCTCAGCGCAGGGAGCTTCCAGCGAAGCGGGAGGCCCACTTAGAATGAAAGAGAAATCAATTGAAGAGCAACATATGTTCAATTTAGAAACATTAGAATAGTAACAATAACTAAGGACAACAGAACAATAGTCATTGTCCTGACACACAGGGCCAACGCCCTGGTGGGCACCCTTCCGACAGACACACACCCAACACACACATTTGGAGAAACAAAAAAAATGGGATTATATTGTTCGTTGTAACCCTTTTTCTCATATTCGGTTTGGAATATCGTGATTTACTTAACCAGTTTCGAATTTTGACTTGTAAGACTGGAAGTTTTTAACATAGAGCCGAGGCTTACATGCCCTTCATTACTTCTTCCGGGTGAAATCACTGTTTTTAAGTTGTTAGGTCAAATTATAAATATTTTTGATGCTTCTGAGTCACACTGGCAAATTGTCCACCAGACTCTCTAGACCTATTTGCATTTCTACTGACTATTTACAAGAATGTCTGTTTTCACCATACTCAGCACCGTGTATTTTCATTTTTTAAATGAAAGACGAAAGATGCATCTATATTAAAATTTACATTTTCCGTTTATTACTAAATCGACTACATTTTCAAAGGCTTGTTGTTTAATTATATTTCTTCTTTTGTGAACTGTCCCTTTCATAACCTTAATCCATTTTAATTTCAAAGTGTCTATCTTTTCTTTCTGTTTACAAGAAAAATTTAATTTTGAGGCTATTTTAACCTTTGTCATATAACTTGGCAAATAATTCCCCCTTTTTAGTCCTCTGTCCTTTAATGCTTTTTATGTACAAAAGTTTTCAGTGCTACATAGTCAGATCTAATGCTCCTTTTGTTTTTCCCATGTCCCCGGAAGCCACGCTCATCATTCAGCCCTGAATGAGATGTGAGAGAAGCAGAATTGATGTTTCAAAAAGAACAGAAAGCTGCTCCCCGATCGCTCCATGAGAACTTAAGAAAAACTGTCAAGCACGTGGGAGGGGCTCTTGAGCCCTGGAGCCCTCCAGCCGCTCTGCTCTGGCTTGGCTTGGGCCCTCTTCCATGCCGGGAAGCGGACTGCTACTTTACCTCCCCTTCTAAGAAAGCTATTCTTTTGTGATGTTAAAAAAAAAAAAAAAAGAAAGAAAGAAAGAAACGAAAAGTACGTGGGAGTAGGAGGGGGCGACTTTCCTCAGGAGCCGAGGCAGCTTTCGTGGTCGCCGTCACCCCGTCGTCTGGGCCAGGCCGTGGCCGCTGGCCAGCGGGCGAGCCACTCACAAGCAGGGATGCTAGATGCTGATGGTTTCTTAGGGTCTGCATTTACTTTTGAAAAAAAAAAACAGATGTGTCCCAAGTGTCCTATATTAAAAAAACGTTTCATTATAAAAATTATATGCGCTCATTACCAAAATTTCTAACTTCACAAAAGTCGATAAAGGAAAAAGCGAAAGTGTTCTTTCAGCTTCCTCGAAACGTAAGGCCTGAAGGGGAAACCCTGTTGAAAGTCCGGCATGAATCCTTGCAGACTTTTTTTCATGCATACACGAATTATAATACGATATAATATAATATAATCCAATATAATAGATATACGATACAGTATATTCTTACTGTTACACAATATTTCGTAATAATGGATATACCATAATTGCCGTTGTTTGCAATTTTTTATTCCAACCAACATCCTCAAACAGAATCTTTGCACGTTTATACAGATATATGTGTAGGATAGATTTCTCAAGTTAAAATTATTATGTCAAAAAATATATTTTAAAGTTTGGTGGAAATGGTCAAATTTCAACCCCTCAGGACATATGGATTTACGATCTCTCTGGTATTGCATGAAGGGCCCTATTTCTCCCTACATTCTTGTCAATAATGTAAATTATTATTTTTTATAATTCTGACAATCTAATGGTAAAAATGGTATTTTGTGGCTATGATATATATGTGCGGATATATATGTATTTTGGGTGACTTTAGACGTCTTCTCATATATTTATTTCTCCTATACAGTATTTCTTCTACAAACTGCTCATGTATATTTTTTGCCCATTTTAAAAACTGAATTTTCTTTTTCTTATTGATTAATAGCAATAATTTATGTCTCTTGGATATTAATGATTTTTCATATATATCATAACTATTTCCTGTCATGTCTTTCACTTTGCTCATTATCTCTCTGCCTATACATAAATGTTATATTTTTATATAGTCAATTGTGTCCATATTTTCCGTATTATTTTTGGATTATACAGTAAATGTAGATGAGCCTTCCATACTCAAAGATATGAAAATGTCATTTTATTTTTTTTAACACTAATATAGGTTTTTTAACACTTAAAATCTTAATCCAATTGTAGTTTGTTCTTGCGGATGATGTGAGTTAGGAATTTTTCACACGATCCTGAGATAAATATTCTATTCAGGCTTCTTTTTACCCAGTGGTCGCGATCCATTGCTTGACTTATTAATTTCATTTCCTGGGCAACTTTTTGAGAGATAATATCTATATCTGTACTTAAAGTGGAAACAGACAAAAAGCACAATTTTTTAGGCTTTTTATTCACTTTATCCTAAAGAATCATAAAATTGGAAGTTTCCTTTGGAAATCTGCCTTGGGGTGACCCTCTTTTCTGCGCCTGCATCTCTCCGTGCACCCCCTCCTGTGTGCCTTCATCAGCCCATCGCTGTTTCTCTCCCTGCATCACAAATTTATTTTTTCTTCCTGTTTCTAGTCCTCTCTTCTCTATTTCTCCTTATCGGTTCTTGAACCATCTATAGTGTTAAGCATCTTGAATGGTTTTTGAATTCTTTGTTCTGGTCGTTTAATAGTAGTTCACAGTCTCTATGCATTTTTGTTTGTTTCAGAACAAGTTTTTGTTTAGCTAACAGAATTTCAATAGAGTTGTAAGAATGTGTGCTAACCATAGGATTTGGGCATTTCAACCATTTATAGCTGCGACTCAATTTGTATTTGTTTCTTTTTATCACAAAAACAATTTTAGGACCTTAAATACACCTTTTGAGAAAGAGAAGAAATTCACTTTTATAATGATTTCATATGCATTCATTTCCCAAGGTTTATAGTCATAGGTTCAATAGTTGTATTCTGCTATTTGCTTATGAATATTTACCTATATTTCATTTCTGTGTGGTCTTCTTAGAGGCATTACAGCACAATGGATAGAAGACTGGCTCTACGGCTGAACTGGGCTCCTTTGTTAACTAAAGGGTGCTCCCCAGTGATTTACCTAGCCTCTCAGTTTTTGTCTCTTCAATGGGGATAATAAAACCCACCCAACGTTGTTGTGAGAATTAAAATGTGATAAGAAAACACACTCATACGTACACCCGCTTTGGCAAAGGAGTGCATCTGCAGCTTGGTTTGCTGAGTGTGTGTGTGTGTGTGTGCGCGCCCACGTGTAACTGCACACTTTCTGTTACTTTAAAAAAAGCAAAAAAAGAGAGGCATGTGGGTAAGCCCTCAGGGGTGGATTCCACCAGCCTACTTTAGTTCCTTCTGCAAGAGCTCAGAATCACAATAAGGAAACTAACCCCAAAGATGAGCTTCGCATGTAAGGTCTTAGCCAGCTTCCTTCTGATTTTCATCTTTTCTACCAAAGGTAAGTTGGTGTGTGGATCTCCCCTGTCCCCATTAGAAGCTTTTTTAGAGACCATGAAGTGAGCGTAGAGTCAAAGAGGTCACAGCCCGGCTTTTCCTGGCGGTGAATCTCAAGGCCTCAGGAACCGTCTTTCTTTTTTCATAGGTACAGCTCCAAAGCACATCACTATCCTGGGAGCCCTGGATCACGACATCGACCTGAACATCCCTAGTTTTCAAATGAATGATGCTATAGAGCACATACAATGGAACAAAAACGAAATGAGGATTGTACAGTACCAGCAGGGCAAGATACATGACGAGCAAAAGGAAACATACCAACTCTTCCTAAATGGAACTCTGAAAATTAAACGTCTGAACAGAAGTGACACCGGTACCTACAAGGTCATCATATATGATAAGGATGGGAAAAATGTGTTGGAGGAAACATTTATTTTGAAGGTTCTAGGTAAGTCTTTGTTCCCTAAATTCTGATCTCAATATGGGTACTATTTAGCAAGTGGGGAAATAGCATTTATGACATGTCTCCGGCCCTGACTTTGGCCTTGCGGGAGCCGGAAAGGAAATCTAATGCATCTCTTTTGCCTCCAGAGAGGCTCTCATCCTGTGGGAGAGATGGAATCCACACTGGAAACACAGCTGACAGACCCTCAAGCTAATCTGCCTAAAGCTGTCTCTTCAGTGGGAAACTGTCTCTTTATGGGAAAGTAGGGCTGAGTGAAGAACCTGGATTAAGGCGGCATTAATCGAGAGGAGGGGAACAGGTGGGCAAAAGAAAAAGATGGGCATTCCAGGTGGATGAAGAAGGTGCGAGCTAGGCGTGGAGCAGGGAAGGCAAGGCTGACTAGAGAGCAGTGGGTGTCCCACCTGGAGGCACAATTTCAAGCCAGGATACCCCGAAGGAGTAGGAAAAAACCGGAAGTAATGAGTTTAAGTATGAACAGCCCTTGTTTCTGATCTGCTCCATATCAGAGTGCTCTAAGGTAGACAATGATTTTTGCTCATCTCTGTAGAGGATACACAAGGTGTGGCTTTGTACATCTGTGTGTGCTTGTGCCGGGAGGGGCAGGAGTGTATACTGAAGACAGAGGCAAGAAGACCAGCCAGGAAGCTGCTACTACAATCCCCGTGAAGTAGACCGGGGCTGGTTTGTGGTTCTTAACCCTGGTTGCATGTTAGAATCAACCGAGGTGCTATTAAAAGTGAGCAGTGCCTGGGTTCCAGCCCAGGCCAATTAAGTCGGAATTTTTTCGCGTGGGACCTGGGCTTCGGGAGGGTCTCAAGTTCCCCAAGTGACTCTAATGAGCAGTCAAGGCTGATAACCACTGGCCTCGACTAAAGTGTGCCTGTAAAATGAGGAAGAGCGACTATACGGAGCGTCGTATGCGGAGCAAGGATAGGCGGCACGGCATGGGCTGGGGAGAGAGGGAAGAGAAAGTAAAATGGAAATGACACTAAAGTTGAAACTTCAGGGGCTGCTTGGCAGGGGGTGATAAAAAGCGAGAAGGGGAAGCTGCACTTGGCCTGGGGAGGAAGATGGGAGCCCCAGCATGAGCACAAGCCAGCGATCCAGGGAGCAAATAAACATTTCTGTGCTTCACACAGAAAATGTCACCGGCAGCAGGGGTGCTTCCTTCTACCTAGGGTCACCCTCCAGCCCTGTTCGCAACATGTGGACCAGGCAGCTGCCTCTCTCCAACAATCCCAGACATTGTCAGCTCCCTGCAAAAGACAACTGTCCACACCCGAGTCCTCAGCCTAGAATGGAGAGCACATTCCGGAAATGGGGTGGGACTGTGAATGGAGCCAGGAGGGGCTTCTACGTACGCGCTCTGGGGACCCAGCTCTCAGGACTCCTGCCCGCATGCCCTCGAGTGTCCTGCACTGAATATGAGCCTCGCATTCACGTCTTCTTCAATACCGCAGCGATGTAATCGTGGCCACCAGCTGGGTGTCAGGTGCTTTGCTTACATGATCTTATTCCAGGTCCCCAACAGTCCCGAGAGGTTGCTGTTATTATGCCCTTCTTTTCTATAAGGAAACAACAGAAGTGACCTATCCAAAATCTCATGGTTCGAGGGGTGCAAAGTCAGGATCCAAACCCAGGGCTTTTTTAAGCAATGATACTGACATTTTCCCCCTAAAAAGCTTTATTGAGATACAATTCCTATACCATAAGATTTACCCATTTAAAGTGAACAATTGAATGGCTTTTATTATATTCGCAGAGTTGTGTAAAAATTACCACGATCAATTTGAGAACATTCTGAACCCCCCAAATAAACCCCGCAGTCCTTTGCCAAAAGATCTCCTCATGACACAATGGCCGCCTTGCTCTGTGTGTGTGTGTGTGTGTGACACAGCATTTTAACTCAGTTCGTGGTCCAGTCACCACTATTTGATTATTTGCTGCATGGCCTTGGGCATATCCTCTATTTGCTCCGAGTCTGATTCTGATAATGATAATTGCACGAGATAGTCAGAGAGACACAGCTTCAATGAGACAACTACATGACGGTGCCCTGAGACACAAAGCTTGTTTGCTCAATGCCATGCCCCATCTCATGGCTTCTCCGTGCTTCTCGAGGCTGCAGTCTTGGCACTCACGTCACCTCAATGAGCGGAGTGCTGCCGCTGGCCGAAAAGGCAGTGGGAAGCCCTTTAAAAGCAGGTGTTAGTGGAGATGGAGTTAATCCTTGCCACCTGGAATTAAAGAGGTCCCGTCTATGACATGTGCCCTGACTCGATCTGGCCATTTATCTTCTAGGAAGCTATCTCGCAGAGAGGATGTGTACTAAGAGATGATTTGGAAAGATTGCTCATCATGGTGTGGTTTATAGTGTTGAAATATTGGAAAGGATGGATTTAAAAGATCCCAGCATTAGAAACTTATTCAATAAAGGAAAAATACATCTTTAAAAAGATGGTGGAGATGTATATTTATTGATTTTTTTTTAATGGAAAGAATTTCTTCATAGATCAGTAAAGGAAAGAGAGCAGACTACAAACTCATATGACACAGTTTTAGTTCTTAAAAAATTATAAGTATATATGTGTGTGGATGCATAAAAAAATCTGCTAAAGACATACATCGAATAATTAATAATTACTGATTCTGGGTAGTGAAATTACAAGTGATTTTTAATCTTCTCGAAACATTTTTAAATCAATTTTTATAATAACTGGATATTGCTCTTATAAATAGAAAAAAGAATATTTCCATTTTGAAGTGACAAGTAAACGCCTCGACTCAACCCCCAGACTATGCACTGCCCTGTCGTGTTGTACGATGACGTTTCTCTGTCCTCCTCATTCTTAGAAACCTGGGAAGGGGAGGAAACGTAATGTCTGCGTGCCTGTCTGTCGGGACAGAAACGAGATCTGGTGGGAGATTTCATGGATGCGATATTGCTGCCTGGGAGTCAGGGACGGGGAGTCGTTGAAAACGGAGCTCTGCATCTACATAACGAAGGCAGAGGAACTGAGTGAGGAAGGTGGCAAGTCTGGGGAAAGACAGGAAAGAATGAGAAAATGAGCAGAAGGGGAAGACTTGGAGGTGGCCACACAGCTAGACGCAGGGGAGTTGGACTTGCCAGGCCCTGTGACGCCAAGGCCAGGCCCTGTTCCTTTAAGATTCAACCTTCAAATATGATCGTGTCAGGAAAGGACAGGCAAGGAATTTATGATTCCAAATGTAGCAACTACCACCAATAAGGTCAGCACCTGACACTTGGCCCAGGGCTTTGTCACTTGTTGTCGCTGTTGCCGCAGGTGAGGTGTGTCTTTCTTAACCTGCCCTCAGAGATGAAGTCCAGTGAGGCACAGTGAGTGGCCAAGCAGCATTGGGCAAGAACCCACCCACTTAACCTCTCAGAGCCTTGGGCATTTTCTCTGTAAATGGGAAGAAAAACATCAGCCTCTCTGTTAGGATTAAATGAGATCATGTATGTGAAAACATTTTAAGGTATAAAACAGCACTTAAACCTTTGATGTATTTTTACTGACATGATGTATCTGTGAACTTTATCAGAAATGTTCGTTCTGACTGTGCTGTATAAACACAATAAAATGAAAATGATTTTCAAAAACAGCTGGGGTTCCTAAAATTGTTCTCTGGTCCCAAACTGACTCCATTTCCCCTCCTATAAATAGGTATGTCTATTAATCACGTCATGATCACAAAGTAACCCCATATGAATTCGATATTTCTTTTCTTTTCAGAGAAGGTCTCTACACCTGTGATTTCCTGGAATTGTATCAACAAAACCCTGACCTGTGAGGTAACGAGAGGAACCGACCTTAAATTAAGACTGTATTACAATGGACGCAGTGTCGGAGAAGGTCAAAAGGTCATCACACACAAGTGGAATGCCAACCCGAACGGATCATTCACGTGCACAGCAAATAACACCGTCAGTGAAGAAACCAAAACGGCGGTCATCGAGTGTCCAGGTGCGTGGCAGGCCCTAGTCAGACATCCCTAGTTCACCTCACAAACACGGCGTGCCAGGCCCACGGCAGAGGCTGGTGCCACGGCCTGGGTGCCTGGGCTGGGAGGCAGCCTCAACTCCAAATGAGAACTGAAAACATGCCTCTCCCCCCGCCCTGAAACCTTCCAGGGGAGCCCAGGGGAGCGAGGAGGTGGTCTTCTGACATTATCTATCTCAGTCGTCCTCTCACAGAGCACGACACAACCTCAGGCCGTTAAAAAGATCTGGGAGAAAGAATTGCCAGACTGAAGATGTAGAAGAGGCTACGGAGACTATCTCGTGCAACCCCCTCTTCCCAGAAAGACAAACCTACCTGCCCAAGGTCCCTCAGCTAGTCAGTGACTACCAAGGTGACTCCCCTGGGAATGCTAGAGAGGGAGGTGAAAAACATATATATTCCTTTCTGGAGGGAAGATGGCCAGCAATGCCTATCAGAGACCAGAGTAGAGAGGCCGTAGGAAAACAACATGGAAGAGCTTGAGGCCAGGGAGGACCAGGAACATTGTGAGGCAGCACCCCTCCCAACCTCAGTGCCAGCACCCGGAAGTCCTGAAACTCTAAGGCTCTAAGCTCCTTCCTGTCACCCCAGCATGACGTCGCTCCCAGAAGTGAATTTTGAGAGGCAGCCTGCTGTAGTGCTCAGTTCTGGGGACCAGAGGCCTGGATTCTAGGCTGGGTCTGTCCAGATGTAGTGGGATGACCTCAGCCTCCTGGTCCACAAAGAAAATGACCCCCTGATCCTCAAGAGTCAACTCATCTGATGCTCTGTGATTATCTTTCCAGTGCTGTCTGGTCCATCTGCCTGAGGGGCAACTGAGCACAAAAATAGTTATTTGGCCAGATGTTCTGAGTTTCAACAGTAACTATGGTGGGTCAGTGACCCTAAGACTTGGTCCTGGGTTGAAGTGAAGTCAGAAGTAAGGTGTGTTTTTTTGTTTTTGTTTTTAAATATATATATTACGTAATATTAATAATATATATATTTTTTGAATTAGTTATCTATTGCTGCATAACAAATTACCTTACATTTAGTGGCTTAAAACAACAAGCAGTTTATTATCTCGCAGATTCTGTGAGTCATGACTCTGGGGTAACTTAGTGGTTCTGGCTCAGAGTCTTCCACGAAGCTGTGATCAGGATGGTGGCAGGGACTGCCCTTGCGTCGGTCATGCCCAGGCTCTACAGGGGACCGGCCTCCAGGCTCATTCATGTGGGCCTTTGGGCTGCCTCACAGTATGGCAGCCAGCTCCCCACTACAACCCCCCACCCCGCCCCCGCCC